GGGGCTCTTCACAGTTATTGATATTGATTAATTGTTAAAAAATGTATATTCCAAGTAATAAACGCATTTGCATGAAAATGCATTGTGGCTATTCATTATGCTCGAATGGAAACATCCAGTGGGAATACTCAATAGTTTCCCATTTTACAGTCAGGTTCTCAATACGCTGTTTCGCTAAACTGTTTTTGATTTGCAACTCCATTTGATGCAACTCGATAATTTATCGATATTTTCAAAATTCTTATCTCTAAGGTAATTTAAAAACTCTTAAGTAGCCAAATTCGAAATGGATTACCCTTTGACAAATAAGCTTCAGATATTCCAAATTAATTCTAAAAAGTGAACGTCTGACTATATTATATTATATATATATTCAAAAATTAGAATATAATGCGTTGCTATTATATATCTAAGCTGCTTATATTAGTATTTTTATATTTTATATCTAAAGGCTATTTTAAGCTTTAATATTCTTAGCCAAGTGTCCCCACAGCTGCCGCACACTAGTTGGCTCACCACAGAGAGAACACAATCAATTGTACGGTGGCAGCAAAAAGTATGCAGCTATAATAATTTTAATGCATACAAATACTATTACATTCAAATTGAACATATTTCACATATTTTCGTTTGTCAATTTGTGTTGTGGGCCACTAAATTAGGACACTCGCCGCAGGATATGAAACATAAAACCCGAAAATTAATATCATTAGTGTTTTATGTACATATGTAAACATATGTATTTACATAAACATATATTTTATAATAGTCAATTTGTGCGCATTTATTTTGCAGCTTGTAATGAGCTAATTTTGGCATTTGCATTTGCCATTTAACAAATCCCAATTGAAATATTTTGCCTAATTAAATAATGTGAGCACCGCTCTTTGGATAACTTATACGTTAGATATAACATACCAAATATGTATGTACAAACATGAAAATTCAGTTCACTTAATTGAAGAGCTGATAAACATACTGAGCACTCAAAGTGACTTGTGAAATTGACTAATTCGGCTTTCAGCGTATTTAATTGACGATTCAATGAGAAATATGAAGCTTTAAGATATGGCTTCAAGGACCTTTAATAATAAGAGAAATGAAGAAATGCTGGCCTTTGTAAGTCCACTTGATTTAACATTTCATATATTATGCATGCAGATTTTCTGATATTTTAAAACACTATCTTTGATTTTTATACAAGTCCTACGTTGGTAGCATTTCATGTGCTTTCATATCTCGTTACCTACATAAAGTGTTTAATGAGCTTTTTGTTAAAAGACTTCCGTGTTAAAAGCTTTTAGTTGCTTTTGAAGCTCAGCATTTAATTTATATAACCCATCCTTACGCTTTCAAGTGCTTTTAACGCTGTTGCTTAATATGTTCAGCAAGCTTTACGAAGCTTTATTGCAAGCTTATCATCTAAACAGCTGATTTAAAGCTTTTATGCTTTTTTATGCATGTTATTATGCGCTTGAGAATCTCGAAGCGAGAGAAAATCATAATCTTTAACATACGATCTAATTGTGCTAAGCTACTAAAATTTGATAAGTATGGAAGGGAGCAATACGTAAATCGCGATGCATACAATATAACGTAATATTGTATGGTTTGACATTCCGTAACATGTCGCACAGAGAAATTTATCTCGACTATCAATCAACAGAGAGACACTAATTGCAATTTGTGGTGATAGCACTGCACGAATGCGCTACACTGTGCTACACAATTTTTGTTTGCATTTTGCGGCACGCTTTTACCTCGCTGCTGGATGATGGATTTGTGTATGCGAGTTAAGCGATTGCCAAAAACCGCTCGACTCGCAGTACGAGACAATTTTACACATTCCGCACAACAGTCAATTTCCAGGTAATTCAATTGGTGGCGGTCGCGGCTGCTGTTGTGTGTATGTGTGCATTGTGTGTGTAACTGTGTGTGCACAGTTCGGCGAAATGCTCATTCAATATGCTGTACAGGTAGCTGCCTGTAGGCCGAGCAAAAACTGTTTGAAATATGTATTTATTCAAATGTTGTTAGCCTGTTGAAGGAACTGCCTGCGAGTTGGCCATTAAATAAACAGCTTTTGCCGAAAAGGCTTAGTTATTAGAGCTCTCAATATTATTATTATTATTGCGGTTGCTGTTCATTTGGCTTATATAATATCAATGTATGCAAATAGACCAATACGCTTTTGATCTCCATGCAGCAACTTTTGCAACTTCTCTTCTCAAGCAGTGAGGGATTTTGGCCACCTCGAGCTACCGTTTCGTTTGCCTGCCATTCGGTTCGGGCCAAGTCAGCAGCAAATACTCAATGTTGATGCCTTAGCATTTCGGGCTTACATACAAGCAAATATGGAATGTAGCTAACAAGGGTTCAACAAGCTTTGCGTAGCTACTGAGCATAAATAAGAAACGTGTTTAAATGCAAAGCAAGTGTAAGGACATTAATACAATGCAGCTTAATAATCTAGGAGATAGAGTTCTTAAGCACATAAGATTCCAAGAGCATTAACAAAAGCACACTCAATAAAAATTATTAAAATAAGAGAGATAATAAGTAATTTAAGCTTTTCATATAAATGAATCAATTCGGAGTATTTCGATAAAGAGTTTGAAAATGTTTTGAATGACTTTTAAAGCAATTCAACATTTTTATTTGCGGGCCTCAATGCTTTAAGGCAGTTATTTAAAAATTGCCAGGAATTTATGAAAAGTATTTTATAAAATTGTACTAAAGAACAAACTAAAACCTTGAAAAAATATTTGGTTTAAATTCCTCCTTTTAAGCAAGCGGGGGAAAAATGCATATGCAAAATGGGGAATAAAAATAAAGGAATATTTTCTTTTTTTTAACGTAAGCGTTAAATACAAGGTGCAAAGATGCACACAATGCAAAATAAATATGAATCGAATACAAGATAGAAAAAAAGAGTAAATTAAGTTGGAGCAAAAATAATTAAATGGAGATGAAACAAATTTGGATTGAGAAAAATAAATTTGTATATACAATAAATAAATAAATGCATATTTCAAGTAATTAATGACTGCAAAAGAAGCTCAGGTTCATTCATTGAATGCATTTAAAACACTCAGTGCGAGTCCTGGCGCATCCTCGCTGCGGCCGGCAGAAAGTCAATATTATTACGGTCAATGCGATACACAAGGAGCATTGATGGTGTCAGCCACAAAAAATGCGGCGATAAAAAATGCTTTCAATTAATTAAACACCCAAAAGCGACACAATAATAAAAATGCAATGCCCCGTAAAGAGAATGACCAGGCAGCCAGTTGAAATAACCAATGAACTCACGGACATCCCAGCACATCGAGCCAACACCAACAAAAATATGGACCACATTAACAACAACAACACGAATAACAACAACAAGAACAACAACAACAAAACGGCAACATTCGGTGGAAACAGCATGCTTACCTCGTGTGGCATGTGCGGCATGCAGCTCATTAATAATACAGATAATGTGTTTGGCAATCATTTCGGGTTGCATGCCACAAATGCTGCTGTGATTAACACATTGAACTCGGCAGCTGAACCAAACTGAGGCACATCCGAAGCGGCTTAACAGCTGCTGTTAACTAAATGTTAAACTCTTACGAATGTGTGCGTAAGTTTCTTGCCAAACACACATTAGAACTCAATCCTCAGCAACATAAGACTATGAGAATTTATGGAGCAGAGTCAAAGATAAGGTAGAAAAAGCTTGGATAGGCAAACAAGCATATATACATTGTCCTTCTTTGGAAATGTCTAAGGATTGACTGTCTCTCATTTTATGAAACGTTCTAGAGAGTGGCTTAGACATAGAAAACCATGTCGAAGTCTTAAAGTACCTTAATGTTTGTTCTCTTTGAGTATATACTGATACTTGAAGTATTATCTAAAATCAAAAAAAATTTGGCATATCTTGACAATGAAATCGGATATGTCAAGTTCACAAGTTCTTCCTTGATTTCAAGCTCACATAAGAACTGTTAAAACTGAACTAATTATCAGGGTCAATGACATTTTTGTCACATTAGAGCTCACATAACTATATTACAACTGAATCGATTTTCAGGTTATACATAACATACAGCTGCAAGCTGAAGCTTAATACCCTTGCGTAATACCCCCGTTCATTACTCTGTTTTCCGTTTGCAGTCGAATCGAAATGCAATCCGTTTATTCATAGTGAGAATCATATGTTTTGATTCAGAAATGAGCGTATAAAGCCCAAATGGATAATTAGCAGGGCGTCCAATGCTAATTTGTATAATTAAGTGAATTTATTTCAATCCTTTGAGCCGAATTCGTGCTGCAATGTCCTTTGAGCGAATGCAATTCATTTTAATTGCACTGCGGCAGCCAAATTCAAAGAACCTAAAAGAAAACCATTTGAAATGGCTGTAAAATGCCCAAAAACGGTAGCTGCAAAAATAAAAAAGTAATATATATATATATATATACCCTATATATAAATTCTTGTATAGCATAGAGGTGGAATTTTGTGGGTCACGAGCTCTTTAAATTTTTAGCATCGCATTTGGGCATGAGGCGACACGAGTTTATAGTTGTTCGCCAAATAAAATACAAATGAATGTGCTAGACGTGAGCTGAAAATTGTTGCGAAACTAATAGAATTTTTGACCAGCCAGCAGAGACCAGAAGAACTTTGGCCTGAGACACGAGCTAATCGCGTGGCCGAAACAAATGACACTTGCAGCTGGCTAGGATGCAGCCTGGCAGCAGGTAGCTCAGTCAGCCAGCTGCTCAAACTTCCCCCGAAAAGGAACAGGCGGAACTGTTTGGAATTTTCCAGAAACAATACAGATTTAGCCGAGCTGTAAAGTCAGGTAAAGAGAGGCTGGCTATAAAAATCAAAGGTTCTACGAGCAGGGCACGCATTCCGCTTCGTACGCACAAACCAAAAACAACCGAAAGTGCAGCCTAGAGTTCCTTAGTAGCTAGTACAAAAAGAAGAATCAAATACGGCAGATATGGCAGAGCAACTGTTCCCTGGTCTGGAGCGACCTCTTCCGCAGCTACCGTCCTTGCACTACACGCTCTTCGCCTATCGCGAGGAGCTGCGACGTCGCGACGCGCCCTTCATGAAGATGTCCACGATCAAGCTTCACCTAACCGATAATCTGATATTGCAAACGATTAAAAATATACGACTATTGGATACCATTGAGATCATGAACCTCAATCGCGAGATTGTCTTCAAGCGCAAGCTGACCAAGCAGATGCGGAAGGTGCGCAAGCTGGAGAAGATGGGACTCAATGTGGATCCGCGTCAGCTCAATGATTTGCAGTGGGACTAAGCCCGTGAAGAACAGCAGCAGATAACTGTGTACAACAAAAAAAAAAAAAAAAAAAAAACAAACAAAAAAACATACTCCAAGCATGTCAACAACTTAGTTAATAAGATCGCAAGTTTCTAAAACTCAGTTGTAAGCTGAATTTATATCAAATATGTAATTAAATGGAAATTTAATATTTTAATACATAAAAAAGAACATTTTTTTAAAATACAAATACAAATTTAAACTGAAAATTCTTTGTGCTATTTCTTTAAATGTGATAATTGTGTTCTTCTGCTGATAGTTTTCTACGATCTTGATTCGTATCCTTCAGAAATAATAATATTCTGATTCAACTGCAACAACATTTTTTGAATTTACAAACTTCAAATTCTGCGATATTACCATAACTTAAGAAAATGAAACTTTTTTTTTTTAATTTGAGTGCTTCTTGAAAACTGTTCAATTATCATAAATATTTATCTAAATTTAAATGTGTTACCCTAAAAAGTTATATTTTAGAAACATGAAATCTGAAATATGGAAATAAAGGTTGTTTTTAAAAGTAAGGAACTTCACACTCATAAATTTTCTTAGGATTAGAGCAAGACCTTTTGAATTCTAGAGTTAGGAAAAAATGACTTAAATATAGAAAATATTTATAAATATATATAAAGATCCAAGTGCTTCTATACAGATTCCGCAGTTCAATAATAATATTCATTGGTAACAAAATCTTAGAGAATTACCAATTTTAGCAACTGTATAAATTTTGGTATTTATTTATTTATCATTAGCACTTTGCTTCACACCATTTTCATTTTCATAAGTTCGCAATTCGTATAACCAAAAGAATTAATTACAACTATATTCTGTTGTTTTTTGCTTAATACATGTATAATAAATAATATATATTATAAATATATAATTATATCAATTTTGTCACATATTCACAACGTTTGAGAGCGAAATATAGGGTATACCCTAGTCACATATGCCTGCAACGTGGAATTAAGTGCAGTTTGGTTAATTGTCGATTACACTTTCAGGTACGCAGGCAAACTACAAATTGCCAGGCCTTATCTGTGCTAGACTGTGTATCTGCGTCCATACGCACACAAAGAGAGGCATGCGGCAAGGATGGTGTTTGATGCATCACTGCAGCCACTAATAGACTTCGTGGCAAAGCTAAGGGGCGTGCATGTATGTGTGTGCCGCAGATACAGCTTCACTTTTGGCAGAAGGCTTTTAGACATCAGAGCGAAAGGCTTCATTAGTAGAGCTCGATTTTCGTGAAAATGGGTCAGCGTTAAAAGTGGCAAAGGAGAAAGAGAGGGAGAGAGTGAGAGAGAGAGAGAAAAAGAGAGAGAGAGAGAGAGAGAGAGAGAGAGAGGGAGAGAAAGACAGAGAAAGAGAGAGGCGAAAGAGGATGAAAGAGAACTAACCTTATTTAGATAATTTGTTAAGCCGTAGCAGAAGGGCCGAATTTTGTTTTGTCTGTATTCAGTTGAGGTGGAAGAAAATATTTGTGCAAGGAACCTGATTTGTTAGCTTAATAAAATCCCTTAAAGATATTCACGGGACAAGGTATCGATGATTTAACACGTATGGACGTATGTTCATTTTAGGTCTGTAGCTCCTAGTATACAACTTTTTTTTTAATGAAAAATAAATGTATATAATTTACATATTAGCCAAGACTACGTTTAAACGAATTTATCAAAACTAAATTTATTATATTAAGAATGTGTAGTAGATAAATGAAAAATGTCGGCATAAATTATTCTGTGTTTATCCCTATTTATTTTGTTTTAATTATGACAAGCCAAAATTATATATAGGCAGAATTATTTCGGAAATATATTATAATATTTTTTCATATATTTATTATTTACTATTATTTTGTATGTATTTAGTATTAATATTTATTTATTTGTTCTTTTTTTTTTATTTACTATTTTCTTTTTATATATTTAATAGTTTATTTATTTACTCATTTATTTATTTTTTTAGTAGTTGTTTATCAATTTCATGTTTGCTTATGGTCGACAGAACGAAGTATAAGAATATAAAAAATGCTTAAGGCCCAATCAGAATACAAACAAATCTTATAACATCGACAAGAATAATAATTTTAAATTTTAATTTTAAAATTAAATGAAACTTTATAAAATGGATCGGGCAGAGATATAGTAATTGGAAATAACTGACCCGATGGGGGAAATTCCTGTAGCCCATCCGGCCAGCTAAGCTATGTTGAACTGCTCTCTTGTATAATATCTTAAGAATTACAAATATTGTTTGCCCTAGCCATAATTTAGGTGCTTTGGAAAACATTGTGAGCTCTTTGATGAGCTCTCAGGCACAGCTTTGGAGTTTTTAACAGCCTCAGGCGTGGGCTGCTGTTTGCATTTGAGTGCAGCTCTTAATGATTTAGCAAAGTTTTTCTGCCAGATGCACATTACATGCCGAACCACACCCACAAGCCGTTGCTGTATGTTGCGACCATAAAAACTTTGTCAACAAAACGACAACAACAGCAACTGCAGCAAAACACATGAAAAATGCAAGGCAAAGCGTAAATTGTAGTCGCAGCTGAAAGTTATTCCCTGTGTTTTTTGCTGTTTTTTTTTTTTGGCTTTTTCGCATATAAGTAAATAGAGGAGGGTGCTTGGCGGGCGGGGCAGACAGTGGATGTGGCGGTGCGTGTTTTAGTAATTTAGTGCGGCATTTGAAATGTCGTTTTTCGCGCTACTGTTAAAAAGGAAGCAACTGAGAACGCGACGCGAGAAGCGTAGAAGAGAGAAGCGGGCAGAGCATAAGCAATGGCATGTTAACATGCAAAACTACGCGATGTTCGGTTTGGTTCCGTTCTCTTCAGCTCTCTTCTCTTTTTGTTTTGCGGTGTGTGTGCAACTTCTGCAACCGCACTTTATGTGGCATGCCACCACGCATTTCTTATGTGAAACCCCGTACTCAACGCAGCTAGAGAATTATGCAAATGCCACACAATCTCTTAACAATTTGGTTATATGCGTAAGCAGCGCTCAGTAGGTAACATTTATAAACAGGCCTATTTCGATCTGTATCTAGTTCCTAATAGGGGCTGAGCCAGCTTGACCGAGGGTTAATATTTATCAACAGGCCTATTTGGAACTAGAACCAGTTTGAATTGACACGCTCATTTCAAACTGAAACTAGTTCCCAAAAGGAGCTAAGCCATCTTTAATCAAAGTTTACCATTTATTAACAGGTCTATTTCGAACTGAATTAATTCCCAAAACGAGCTGAAACATTTTTAATCTAAGGATAAACATTTATTAACAGGTCTATTTCGAACTGAAACTAGTTCCCAAAAGGAGCTGAATCTATTTCAATTGAGAATCAGCATCTATTAGCAGGACTATTGGGAACTGAAACTAATTCTCAAAAGGAACTGAACTGTCTTAACAAACGGTTTACATTTATTAAGGGGCCTATTTCAAACTTAAACTAGTTCCCTAGGTTCGCGTACAGCTTTGAGTTTGATAGTTTCAATAGTCGAAAGACTTTATTATACATCTCAGAAATATTATCTGGCTTATCTAAATATCACTGTTTGAAAAATATTTTTAAAAGTTGATTTAATTTTTATTGGAATTTAAATTGTTTCCGATTCAGATAATCGATGTTTCATTCTTAAACCAAAGTTTTCTATTCAAGCACTTTGAAGTTCTTTTGTGTAATCCTTACTGAGGGAGCTAGAGCTAAACTGGCCGACACACTGACTGAATGATTGACTGACTGAATGGCTGATAGATTGTCTGATGGATTGACAGAACGAGTTTAGTAAAATAAAAAAAAATACTTCAAGCTAGGCTAAGAAATCCAGAGCTTGTACATGCTGTGTACGCCATTGGCGAGTATTTTGATATTCTTGAGTTGAATATTTCTTTGGGAATTGCATTTCAAGTGGCCAAACCATGCAACAAATACGCGTAGCGAAGCGCACTGGAATGCATGTAATAGAAAATAGAAAATGACGCAAGAGCGAAAGAAAAATATTAATGCACAAAAAAGTTCACTGCAAAAAGTTGAAAGCGCAAAACTTTGCGCACTTCTGTCCAGGGTCTAAGCCAGAAAAAGGACCCCCATGCAGAAACAAAAACAAGAAAAACTGGCTGGCTGCTGCTGCCGCCGTTCACAATGGACCAAGTTGGAACCCAAAAAGTGGCTCAATGACAGAAATTTATCAGCGTACAGCGACTGACAGATGCGTGTCGAGTTCGTGTGCGTCGCATGTGAATATTGCGCATACGCAGAGTATTGCAGTTGGGCAAAATATTGAAATTTAGTTCTATGAAAGACATATCTTTAAGTGAGGGTATTTGTTCTTCATTTAAATAGGAGCATAGTCATAATAAAGTGTTAGGACCTAACAAGGCTTCGGTGGGAACCAAAGCAGCACATTTATAGATAAAATTAACTTACTTTACAGAAGAGTTGACTTTACACCCAAATTGAATATGAAAACTTTAAAATGTAATCGACTTGACTATAATTCGCAACATGTTCAAGTTTCATGCAAAGGCGATGAGCGTCTAGACCTAGAGTCTGCTCTTCGGGAGGGTCTACAAATAGCTATGCAGACGAGGTGCTCCATCTTTTTTGTTTCTGCCATATATAATAAAAATCTTGCTGCTATAAAAGCCCTCTTCACTACACAAATACCATATACATTCATTCTAATTATTTTAATAAAATTAAATTTAAATAAAATTGTATCACGCACTAAAATGTTGTGCTTTTCAAGTTCAAAAGCTAACACAAATAGTTGCCACATTTCAGTTTGCATAGATATTTGAAATATCCAAGAATTTGGCCCATACAATTTCGTTTTGAACATTTTACATGCAAGACCAAATTCTTCTTATTGCTGGGCACCCAACTGACCCGACACAATGTATACGAGTATGAGGCCCGAGGCCCGAAGCCTACCTAACCCCATCCGCCCATTGCCAGCTCACGTTTCTTGGGAGGCT